CTGTTGTAGAGTAGCTGTGTAAAGAACTGATCCTTTCGTCGTGGGATTAAATCCTCTACGGGACCTGGAGAAAAGTCCCTCCGATGTAAAAATAAAACAGAGGTCCCGTGTCACAGTAGGTGATGGCAACAAAACGATTCCATTCTGGTCAGTGGCCCTTAGTCTACTCTGCAACTCGAGAGAAATCCCTCTACAACCACTGTGTCATGCGGTCTACACAGACTAATTGGTAATAAATGAAACTAATTGGTAATAAATGAATCTAATGCAACTGTTTTTGTAAAATACATTTTGAGTGGCTAAGCACTGATATCTGAGGCAGTAAAACAAACAAGAGGGAAAACTTTTCATTGTGAAGTCATAATAGAGCGGTCGCCTGCGTGGCGCACTGGTTAGAGCGTCTGCTCTAGAGTCGCAAAATAAGGAGTTGATTCGACTGTAGGACGCGGAGACCCGTCATTCGGATGAGACCGTATAAATCGAGGTCCCGTGTTGCATTAGGTTCCGGCACGAAAAAGACCCCTCACTGCTCAATGGCCATAAGTGCCGACCATAGGACAAAATTTTGCAGCTCTCCACCGGCAAGTGGTGGCATATCTATATGAGTGAACACATTCTCAAGAGGGACGTTAAAATACGGTGACCACCCAATATTCCGACGGTCCGGTAGTCCGATGACCACATCACATGCAATCAATCAAACAAAATACAGAGATTGCATTAGGATTGGAATAACTAATAATCTTATTTGTTATGTGCGACCGTAAATTCTGATTTAATGGTTGCAAACCGAGTTTTACCAGCGACGCGTAATAAATTGAAATTTTTGATACTAGAGAAAAGAGAAGTTGCAGAACCACTTATTCTACACGGTGTACACCTTTTTTTGCGAGTTCTCTAAGAATTGACCGAGTGCTAAGGTCTAGCAACAAGAGCTTTTTAGCAAGGTCAAGGTCACTGTGCGTACAGAATCTAGTCGGGTCAAGGGCACCTTGACGTTATGTTCAATTAAAAATTACACAGCGTTTCGGTTGTGCTGTCTTTCAACACATCTACACTACTGGAATAAGATATACAACTGGAATAAGGAATTGATATGAATGATTACAATGAAAAGTATGAAAACGCCTTTGACTGATTTCGCACAATTCAAAATTTCTCCAGAGCGCGATCCATTAACACGATTTACAGAACAGCTCTTTGTGTTGACATTGAATAATCGAACCATCGACTTTCTCGTTCAGAAAACTTGATTTGTTTTCTGATTTGTCCCTTCGTATAAACAAATGGCATCATTGCAGTCCTGAATTGAAATGAATTCCGTCTGTTACATACATCACTATGGCTTTTTATGGTTTCTCCTCTTTGAATTTATCTGGAAATTTCTTGGGAATAGCGGATGAGGGTAAACTCACATCAGTCAATGAATCGAATGCATTAAGCGGATGCTTTTCAATCTTTTAATTTTCTAGGGTATATTAGAAATAAACATTTATAGACTTTTTCAGATAGAGATTAATAGAGACTTGAAAAATATCAGTATTCTATTGCTTCACAACTTATGCCACTTCTTCCAGGTGATCCTTACGTCGCAGGTCTGAATCCCACTGTTAGACGTGGAGACCGGTCCTTCGGACGAGATCGTATAAACCGAGGTCCCGTGTCGCAGTAGGTGCTGGCACTAAACCACCGGTCTCCTTGTGAGTGAAAAATTCTCAAGAGGACGTTAAACAACAAACAATCAATAAATCCATGTTGTTTTCATCCTCATATGCATCGTAATATGTCGCGGGTTTGATTACACTGCGGGACTGTATACACCGAAGTTGCAGTACTTCTCAATGGCTCTATGTGCCGAGTATACATGTAGATAAATATTTTCATGACCCCCCCCCCCCAACACACAAAAAAACGTCTCTATATGAGTGAAAATTTCAAGAGAAGGGCGTTAAGCAACAAACACATCGTAAAAATACACATCTTCTGATGCAGTATAAGTTGAACAATGAAGAAAAAATTTAAAGAATGGTTAAACAGACTGACTTTTAAAGCCTTTCACATGGGGAACCGGACCTAAAAAGTTTACCGTAATTCTCAATTTCCATTGCAGATGTATCTGACAAACTGAATGCATGGTTATAATAAAATATCCAACTTGTGAAATGAAACATACGGAGATAACGAACAGTATTTAAGATCAAAAGTCAAATAGGAGCAGAGCAAACACGGACCTCCAAAACATCAGACGAGGGATCAGGTACAATGGAAGAGTAAGCATCCGGCATTCCGCTGCCGACTGGTCACGCCGCCGTGTGCTCCTTGTCATGATCGGGAAATAACGGAAAAATCCGTCGTCAATTCAGTGTATAAATAATGAACTAACAATAAGTATGAAATACGTCAGTCCGCATTTGACTCAGTTATAAATTGTATTTGATGACAAGGTCATTGTATCGACCATAGAACTTGCGAAATGATGGCTTTAAACGAGACTGCTGATATGTTTCATCAACTTGTTTGTCAATATTTAATTAACTTCGTTTTAGAAATCGCTCATACGTAGGGCATGCTCTTGCGCGTCAAATTAACTGAACTATAGAAACTCCGTATGCAGGTGATTAAGGTATATTGCTGCATAAGAAGGGGAAGTTGACGATAGAAAAGTTAGTCATCACGTTTATCATAGAGCTTGGTTGTTAGATTACCATTAACGTCTTTTAAAAATTAAGTTCAGACCCCGGATCCATAATTAAGGGCCTACCTGAAAAACTGAATGCATGTTTTTTAATTTGTTATTCAACGTCCCTTTCGAGAATGTTTAACTCATGTGGAGACGCCACCACTTGCCGAGAGCTGCAGATTTTGGCCAATAATTCTATACTCGGCACTCAGGGCCATTGAGCAGCGAGATTTCTTTTACCTGCCAGCACCAACCACGACACGTGACCTCAGTTTTTACGGTTTCATCCGAAGACTAATCAACTACCCAGCTTATGTTTGAACCCTGGATCCATAATTAGACCTTTTGATGGATTAAATTGTAATTCAATTATATCGAATTAAATATTTCCATTATCCGGATACGTATATTGATTGTCTTCTGATAATGGTATGCAAGTCCTCCCTTGCTCAAAGGTCCAAGATTTATAGGATCAATATTTGCAGAACACTACAGATTTATTATGATACTACATTCTCAAAATATTGTATAATTCAAAGTGAATTCTCCAACTCTTGTCAAATAAGTTCATGTTACAGGATTTTCAACAAACTAAAATTTCAGATTTTAAGGTGATTAAAATATTGTTTACAGAAAGCTATCATTACGATGAATTTTGAATGAAACGTTTCTATAATAAGGTCTTTTAACAAAATGTGAGAACTCGTTATTCTTTACTTAATTTAATTTGGATAATAATGGGATCTAATGTCCATTTTTCAGCAGATGCTCCACCAGATCCAACATTTTGCTATGAACAATATGAACTGAGTTTCCCTGTCAACAAGGACAGTGGACCACTTATATAATATAAAATGAGGTTGAAGTTTGAACTTTTTATTGATAATGAATGCAACAAAAAGAAACAAACAAAAGTAACTGATTTTTGTTTTACATTAATTTGTGAGTGTTTGATCATCTTTATTATAGATCGGGTTTGTTCTTCTTTAACTATGTAGTTATTTTGCCATTATTCTATATTCGATAAAACATCTAAAAAAAAAAAAAAGAATTAGTTATCTCTTTCGTTATCTTATTTTTGGAGTGAAAAATTTTGAAAAAACATATTTTCATAAACGAACGTAGTCAATAATTTTATATAATTTTGGCAATCAATTTGCTTTCTTCTCATACAAATCCTTTTTAAATAGATTCTGCCTTTGCAAAAATGTAAAAACCAGTAGACTTTAAAAAAGGCAGTTAAAATTTTCCAATTATTTATCTTTAAGAAATCTGTCAATGGTGTTTAAAAAATAAACTTGAAATATATGTTGAGTGATAATACGAATCGGCACTCTGTAAATAAATGGTTTTATTATATGATTGAATAATTTCAATCTCTCTGATTGGCTGAGATCCAACTATGTTAGAAAAATACTACGTTGTATTGACCTGCACGTGACGTTCCAGGTCAATACAAGGATTTATTTCCTTTACGTTGATCTAAAAATAGATCGGGATATTCCAAATACATACAAATTGATTTGGAAAGCTATTTAAACTACTATAACTTTTTTTTATCTGAAGAAAACATAAGCGAATATATATTTTCGGGTAAGGGTGGTAAGAGGGGATGCAGGGACACTCCTCCAACACTTTTACTGAACAACAATTTTTACTTTATGGCAGTCAGTTTTCCCTGCTCCTTCCTTAAAAAATCTATGCTAGAAAAAAACTGACATTTTTTTTTCATGGCAACTAAAATTGATTTTAAAAAAAAAACTTTAAAAAAAACTAAAATAAATATGACCTGTAAGGTTGATTTACATTTTAATTCTGCTTCTCTTTTAATTGTATTTGGTATTTTGGATAGGACTTAATTAAATGCAAACAAGTAATGGGTTTTATCATTTTATTAACAATTATTGCTGTTTTTTTTCAGTCAATACAATGATTTAGCCATCTTCGAAGTACAATATTCACCTCGCCCTCCGGGCTCGGTGAATATTGTACTCCTCAGATGGCTAAATCATTGTACTGACCTCAAAACACAGCAATAATTGTATAATATTTATTTTCCTTTGAATGACAGGAAATATGAGGGAAAGCAAAATTGAAGCTACAGAAAGTTTCTTTTTTTTTTAAATCTATATAATGAAATACCCAATGTCATTTTGTTTTTCAATTCCTTGTACCAAATAAAGAATAATTATCCTCTAGTGTAAAATTAATTGCAACGTTTACGACATTACTTCTATAAAATATATATTTTAATAGCCATTGGTACATTGCTGCCCAGGAATAATTAAAATGGTCGTTAACTGCTTCGCTAAAATGATAACCAAATTTCGTATATTTATTAAAACAATTTACGAAAACATATTGTAATATACAAGAAATATCTGCTTTATAATATGCTCCATAATATGTATTTTAAAAATGATGAATAAAATTCTGGTTGTGTTTGAACGCTTGAAACAGTCATTGATAAAGGGTATTTCATGAGGATTTTTCAGCCATCGGGATCGGAATCATCTGTTTAGTTTCAAAGTTTTTAGATCCTCTGGTACTGCAGGAATCGGACTCTACAAAAGTTTGGTTGGTTCCTGCTTGAGAATACTGAGGGTAAGGTGATTTGGGGCGCCCTTTTTTACAACATGTCGCCATGCCGCTGAATGCCAGGTAAATCCAAGGATTTGTACAGCTATTAAGACTAGCAAGCAGAAGAATGATCACAAAAGATGCACCTGAAAATAAAAAAAATGGAAATTTACCACTTTTTAAAAATAATTTTTGAAACATATGGAAGTAACGAACAGTTTTCAAGATCAAAATTCCGTAAAACAATACAAAATAGGATCAGAGAAAACAAGGACCAGAGGTGGGAACAGGTGCCATGGAGAAGTGAGCATCCCCTGCTGACCGGTCACACCTGCCGTGTGCTCCTTGTCATGATCGGGAAATACGTCGTCAATTCAGTATATAAAATAATGAACTAACAATAAGTAATACATGAAAAACATCAGTCAGTATTATATCTAAAGTATTAACTTTAAATGACTTGTTAATTTTAAATGTGTGCACCAATTTGTTTCTAGAAAAAAATTAATTCTTTTGCCTAATGCAAATGGAAAACTAATCAATATTTTAATAATTTACTTATAAAAAAAATGATGAAAGTTACTAGCAATGGAAACACTTCTAGAAGATAATCTATTAGATTTTGAAATTGCTATAAAAATTCTCATTTGTTTGTTCATGCATTTACGGTTAAAACGACGTTGGGATAGATAAGTGAAAAAAAGTAATTTGAAATCATTTTCAGTGGATCACGCAAGTCTGCTTATCTCACTTAGAGTTGTCAAGTTTCAGGTTTCTATAATGAAGTGTAATTTTTTTCCTAGAATCTATCAAATATCGCTTAATCATTATATTTTAGTTTCCATTTTTAGCTAACGCATGATGAAATTTTTACCTTATATATGCTTTTCAAATATTGACTGCTATGATATATACTGGTCGATAACTTTTAAAGATCCAACGCTGGAGAAAATTTCAATATTTATGTATATAATCTAGTTCTTGAGAAAGTCAATCTCTTTACATGGTTACACCTACTTGCCCCTGATTATGTCCAAAGTTTGGAAAGAAAGAATATTTGTATATATTATACAGTGTAATATAGTCTATTGACAGTAAGTCAATTCTTCAACTCAGTGAATTATGTAAAATTTGGAAGAAATACCAAAGCTTAATCTTACTGTAATCACAGTAAAACCAGACTTGTGGTGTACATGTGTCTCATAAAAGTTGTTTTTGATACACTGTTGAATGTGCAGCATTGCTTCGTGTTTAAAGAACAAGGTATGATTTCAATACAAATATGGTCCTGTATTTATAAAGATATGCTTTTAGCTTTATTGTACCCTAAAAATTTAATGTTTTCAAAAGGTTTTGAAACTGACTTAAATATAAGTTCGAGTTTATGACTGTGATAGATCAGAAAAGAATATGACATGAATGAGTACCATTCTAGAAATATGACGTCATTAATTTGATGTATTTCTCTATTTAAACAGAAAAAGCCTGAAAATGACCCATTTCAAGGGTAATTTTGCTTCAGAAAAAGTGTCCACAGCCGTCGCCCACTTTAATTTCTACATATCTCAAAATATTTGTGGGTGATGACTGTGGACAATTTATATAAAAGAAAATTCCATTGAAAATTGAAGTCTTCTGCAAGTTTTTCAGAAAATACGGGAAAATGCACAGTCATGTTTATGACATCACAATTAGCATTTATTTATGTATGTAAGAAAAATAGTTTGTAAGATTTTTTTGCATGGAATTTCGATGACTTCAGAAAGCATGAGTTTTCATTTTTTTTTTTTTACATCAGTTTCATTTTTAAGAAAATCACTGGGCAGGATTTGTATTGAAACCGTACCTTGTTCTTAAAATGGATGCTTTTTGAATTGATGAAATCCCATGTAGTAAGATTGATTGATGGATTATTATTGTTGAACACCGAGTGGGCAATATTTCAGTCATATTTCGGCGATAACCATGTAGTAAGAACATACATATTGTATTTCTTATGTTAAATGCTAATTGTGACACAATTTTCAGTGAAATTTACTTTCTAAAACAAGGAACTCATGCATTGCCCACAAAGATTTCGCGGTATGTGATTTTTCAAGTATTTTACGCAATATATCCAAAGACATAAGTGGGCCACGGCTGTAGACACTTTTTTTCTTCAGTAAAATAACAACAGAAATTAATCAATTTGATAAATTTTCTGCTCATAACTTAGAACTGTACCAAGTTAATGACGTCATATTTACAGAATGTCATATTCTTTATCGATTTATCATTTCCGTCTACTCAACTCATGTTAAAGCTAATTTCATGACTTTTTTTGAGGAACATTAAATTTTTAGGGCACAATAAAGCCAGAACTGTACCTTCTCCTTTGAGTACTTGTTTGGAAAATGATTAACAAATATAAATTTTGGATGACGGCCAAATGAAAAGAACTTTAACTATCGATTTGATAGTCCTGCCTGTTAAACATCACCCGATTTTCTGGTAATGCAGGGTCGTATTAGAAAGGGCAATTAATCGTATTCATTCAGTGAATTATTTCAATTCTTTTTTAGTTCACCAGAGCCTAAAGCTTCTGATTACTTTTTGTCCGTTTTGCTGTCTGTCTGTATGTGAACTTTTCTTATTTTCGACTTCATCTCAAGAACCACTTACTGGGCTAATTTTAACCAAACTGGCCACAAAGCATATTTCCATAAAGGGAATTAAAGTTACTTCAAGTGAAGGGCCACAGTGTCTTTCAGGGGTTGATAATTCAGAATATGTAAAAATTTGGTATCGTTTGAAAATCTTTTCAAGAACCACTGGTTAAAAATTTGGAAACTTACATGCATAGTGTAGACTCAGTTTTGTTCAAATCATGACGCCCAGGGGTAGGGTGGGAAATTATAACACCTGGGGGTAGGATGGGGTCGCAGTAGGGATTGTTTCACATAGACCCAGTATGTCTAAGAAAAATCAGCTGATGATGAAAAGCAGGTCCACAGCCACATAGCATCGATTTTGAAAGTGGGGGGGGGGGGGGGCAGCCACAGAAATTCTTTTTTTTAACTCATCTGAAAAAGTTGACAAGCAAAAAAAAAGGGAGAGTTGCCCAAAGTCGAAAATTCTATTTCTTGGGGGGTGGGGTTAGAGGCCAACTATTTTCAATGCCAACTGCTTTCAGTATCAATTTTTGTACATTTTCCTCAACATAGAAAGTTGGGGGACCAACGAACCTTTCAACGAACATTTTCTATAGTCCTTTCAACAAACATTTCCTATAGTATAAGTAAGGTTGGGAAAAAAGTGGGGGGAGGCCCCCCCCCGTTGCTACGTGCCTGGGTCCTTATTAAATAAAAATTGAGCATTGTGTAGATTCAATTTTGTTCAAACCATGTTGCCCAGGGTAAGGGTGGGACATCTGTAAAATTCATGAAACCAGCGGGTACATGTAGGATAAATGTTTTACAAATAGAAATATGTCAAGGAAAAAAAACTGATGAAAAAAAAATATCATATTGAATTAAAAAAAATGCTTACTTGTAAATGGTGCAGTTATGTCATAGGCGGCCCACATTTGAGCAATGAAGAAAGGTCCCCAACATATTAAGTAGCACAATACTACCGTAAGTGTCAAGTATATAGTCTTCTTCTTGGATTTTGAGGCACAGCGGGTATGTGCTCGAGGATTTGTCAGTAAATCACTTCTTTTGTTGAAGCCATTTGATTTTGTATTGAAAGAAACCCGAACTTGTTCTTTGGAGGATACACTGATAAAGACGACGTAACAAATCCGTGAGTAAGCAAATGTAAGAATGAGAAATGGTATGAAGTAAATAGACAAAAAAATCCATGTCATATATGCCTTTATTTCCCAGGGTTCTCCAGTACTCATAGTTTCCCAGCAGTCGTACTCGCCACTTCCGGGGGAAGTTTCTATATAAGCGAACAAAATCAGCTGTGGAATAGAAAAAAATAATGCAAGAAGCCAAGCTACGAAGACCATGATATTCGCCCTCCGTCGCTTTGACCAAGTGTGGCTGGTCAGCGGGTGACAAATGCTAATGTATCTATCTAATGCAGTCACAACTAACACGTATGAAGACGCATACATGGCAACCAATTGGAAATATTTCACCATTTTGCAAAGAAAATTGTTTCCCTGGAAACGGAATGTGATGTCCCATATTAATTGTGGGAGAACGTTAAAGAATGCAACAAAAATGTCTGCAAAGCACAAATGTACGATAAACCACTGCATTCTGCTTAGTCTTTTTAATTTCACACGAAAAACGATTAGGACGGCTGCATTTCCAAAAATTGCCATATAAAGTATAATGGCTTGCAGAATGATTTCTACTTTAGCAAGGTCTTCTGAATAATTTTCGGGAGAAATTGTTTCATTGTTCTTAGTAGAATTGGATGTGTTAAGGTGAAAAGTCTCCATCTCTTGTATTTCAAGCTGTTGAACCAGTCGCCGGTTCCCCGAGAGGTTCACAAACCTGAAGCTGCCCTTTGTTACCTAGATAAACAAAAACGTCTTTGAAATGACAATAAATGGTAAATCAATATAAAAACTAATAGGATAACAAACAAATTTACAATCATTTCGCATTTACAGTTCCCGGTAGAGTTAAAACGTAAATAGAATAGATCTCGTAAATGGAATAAAATCCCTCATAGGGAATTGGTCTGATTGTCTTTTGCCCTAATGCATTTATTGTTTGAATGTTTGTCGAACAAGATTTAGCTGCAGTTTCTATGTGCCGTTTTGGTTCAGATTTAAGCTGGTTTTTAAAGAACACGTATTTACATGTACCTTACACAACACAGTTTTTCATAATTCATATCACTCCATTATGCTTTTCTGTCAGTCATCTCCGGTGACCGTGTATAGAACATAATATTATATCAATGAGACCATCGTTAGGATATAGATTTGGTTTTGTATTGTTCATATATAGCTATGAAACATAGCAAAGATCCAAAGAAGATACTATTTATATAATGTATGGTGGCATTTGTCCGTCAATATTTTTAAAAATGTTTATTCGGTATATAAATACAATATACGTATAAAACACATATATGATACCAAAAATAGTTCAAAAAAGCTCGAAAGCTTTTGTCCAATGGGGTCCTTTCCTTAAATGTTGGCGAGGGGGTCACTATGGTGCGTGGAAAGCGGGGTACGCAGAGATAACCAACGTCTCCGAGCGGGTGACCATCTTATCCTCTCACATACAATTCAAGTACCAATTTTTGGGCCAAACTCTCAAATAAACAATTTTGTACTTTTTATTGGATCAACTTGGAATATACATTTACTTGAGTTTTGGATCTGTAAGTGCTGAGGGTTTAATATCCATTTGACAATGAATTTCGGAAACAAAGCATACTTAACTAAGATGAAACTGTATAAAAGATTATCAATACATGCGTTACAGGTAACATTTAGTGTATTTTATAATGATACTTGGAATAAGCATGATTACATTGGTCTACCATGGCACCTTCTGTATAACAGTCTTTGGAATAAAATAAATAAAGATCAATCTCAACTTTCAACACGAAATAAAACTCTTGAGCATGCAGAATCATAAACCAGGGACCACTGGGAACACTTTAGATGGGTTCAGGTGCAATGGTGGAAAAAGCAGTTACTCCTTTAGAACGCGGCAAAATAAAATATTAAATCTTTGAATTATCTTGATCTTATATACATGTAATAGAGCAAATCATAAACTTATACGATCTTTGACTTTTTCCTTTTTCATCAAATTTGTTCTCCAGTCGGTATTAACTTGCAGACATTTTGTCGTCAAAATGTATTATTCACATTTGATTCCATCAAAGACGATTTCATCTTGGAAAACGTTGATTTCTTGAAAAAGGGCAAGTCATCTGTTCAAATATGGATTTCACACTTCGGACTTGCTAAGGAAAAAGTAATCAACATGCGTGCAATTCAATAAACACGTTTAAGTGGACTTTTTTGAGAGAACATACATGTAATAGTTTTTAAAATGTGTATTTTGTGATAAGAAGTAAAATACAGAAGCCTGTTTTAAAAAAAAATGGTGTTCATACAGATTAAAAGTTTGAAATAAATTGTACCAACAGGTGGATTCGAACCAGGACACTAAAAATGTTCATGGTGATCGTCTACGGTCGATTTTTCTGAGCTATATTGATGTAAAAACAGAAGTTATAAATACAAGTAAACCATTGAGATGCAAATAGGTTTTCGCATTTTTTTTTGGGGGGGGGACAATTTTCGAGATTAATTTCAAAGTTTCAAGTAATGTAGTTTAGGTTCAAAATAAAAACTCTGAAAAAGATTTGGACAAATATACGATACAAAACATCTACACTTTAAAGAACATTGAAAATGTGTTTGTGCTATTTATCTCTCGTTATTTGATCACCTTTGAGTGTAATACATTACGAACAGTATTTGAATCGTGACACACGCGTTATCATGTATTTGTCCTAAGAACAATATGAAGCAGAAGTTATGCAAAGTCTTAAGTGCGTGAAAAGAAGAAAACACTTGCTGTGGCCTTCAACTCGACATTAGATATATCGACGATGTATTGTCAATGATGGTGAGCTTGAGATAAAAGATACCACAGTGTTTGACACAACTGTTTCATACTTGGATATTTTACTTGAAAAAGACACTAATGGTAATCTAACAACCAAGCTCTATGATAAACGTGATGACTAACTTTCTTTATGGTCAGTTTCCCTTACCTATGCAGCATTACACCTTCATCACCTTCATACGGATTTTACATATCTCAGTTGATTCGATACGCTAGAGCATGCTCAAAGTATGAACAATTTCTAAAACGAGGCAAATTTTTGACAAACAAGTTGATGAAACAAGACTATCAACAGTCTACAATTTATCATTGAGTCAAATACTGGCTGATGTTTTTCATACTAATTGTAACCGTTCACTGTAGCCTAGTGGTAGAGCGTTCGCTTCGTGATCGGGAGGTCCGCGGGTTCTATTTTCGTTCGCGGCGCCACGTCAAACCTAAGACGTAAAAATAAGAAGTGACTGTTTCTTCGCCAAGCGCTCGGCATCAGAAGTGAAAGTCACGGGTCTTTCGGATATAACCTTAAAAACGTAGGTCCCGTGTCACGGTAGGCGCTGGCACGATAAAGAACCCTCACTGCTTAATGACCCTGAGTGCCGAGTATAGGTCTAAATTTGAAGCCCTTCACCGGCATACGGTGACGTCTTCACATGAGTGAAAAATTCTCGAGAGGGACTTTAAACAATATACAATCAATCATACAAATTGTTATTCCATTATTTATACACTGAATTGACGACGCATTTCCCCCCGTTATTTCCCGATCATGACAAGGAGTACGCTGCGGGTGCGACCGGTCGGCAGGGATGCTTACTCCTCCATGGCACCTGATCCCACCTCTGATGTTTTGGAGGTCCGTGTTTACTTTGCTCCTGTTTTGTATTGCATTATGGACTTTGATATTGAATACTGTTCGTTATCTCCATATCCTTCATTAACACTCAATCGAGAAAAAAAAACATTCATATTAACAAATAATCTAGATTTCTTACTGACTCTTTGGAGTACACAATACGACATTCTCGTATTTCATAGAATCAAATCAAACCAATTATAAAGTCGTTTTTAATTATCTTATTTCCGACTTTAATATCGCAGCAGATTAAAATAACTAAATGCTTGTTTTCAAGCCGATCTGCATTATTAAGGACAGTCCTCTTATTATACGAATTGTTGGGATCAATCTTGCTTAAACTGGCTTGTCGTTGACTCTGGTGTGTTTGCTGTGATTGTGAGATCAACAACGCGAAATTGAATGGGTTTTTTTTTTCTCCAATGTGAGTTTATATACGTTACTGCAGTGTTCATGTCCAAGGGTTATCGGTACAGATATACAATTCTGTAATTTTCATTATGAGCAATACAGGAAATATTTTATTATATGCCTTATAAGCATGAAGTATAGTGACGTCAGATTAAATGGAGGAGACACAACTGTAAATTAAAATATATACATTTGTGGTTTTAATTATATACACCAGATATAAAATTCTGATTATCAATTATCTGTTTTAAAAAAATCTTTTTGGATGATAAAAAATAATTTAGCAAGTATGTATTTGTTCATTATGATGTCACTGAGCACACAAAGCATTCAATATCGTTATTTATGGAAATTTTAACACTTCGCATTCTGTCCATAGGAACTATGTGTCATTTATTACATACATAGACACACACTTCTCTATTGCCTTTATGGACCTAATGCTTTTTAAATTTTTTTAAACAAACTAACTTGAAATCTTTTTTGAATTTTTTTTAAGCCTATATCATCTTTTCAAATTTTATATTTCTAAAAAGTTTGCAAAGAATGATTGAAAAATTGATATTTCAAATATGGGGGTATAGGAGTTCAAAAGGCTGTATTGTAAATTTATCTGGTTGAGCATAATAAACTATGTGTTTTTGTTAACCTTAGATATAATTCTTAATATTTTTAAAGAAAAAATGGCACATAAACAGTTTCGATTTTGAGAAATATTAAAAATAAAGAATTTTTGAGATTTTTTTCTGAAAGACGTGGACAGATTCAACATCAATTTGTTAATGTTTTCCGATAAAGATTTCAAATATTCTCTTGGCAAATGAATGTTTTTGATTTTCACAAGTTTTAACATAAATTTGATGTGATTTAGTGCCTAGCTAAATGAAATATGATGTCTCACTTCTTTAAGATCAAATTTGGCAGTGGAAGTTTTAGAGGTACATGTATGTACTATGAGACGTGTTGTATGAAAATTCGCCTGCAAAGATATGTCTTTTATGGGTGTTTTAGTTAGTTTATGACTTATTTAAGGTATTCAAATTAAAAAATTATTGGTTTGACGGAAAATTTTGAAAGTACGGACCTACCTTAATGAAGGAGACACAACTGTAAATAAAAAAAAACAAAACGTCATACTTTAAGGATTGCAACACGATCTTATGTTATTTATGAAGTTAAAAAAATATTACGGATTTATTTTCCAGAAAATGAAAGAAAGGAGGGAAATGTTTATTGTTGGGTCAAAGACAATGTTGTATTCTCTTATCAGTCTTTGTGAGGTTTTTAAACATGTATCGGACTCTGTAAAGATTAATATCATTGAAAGTATTTGAAAAGTCAATTCTATAGGTATAAATTTTCTCCCGTAATTAGTACAATCGAACATTCTTATAGAGGAGAAATTTTTTAAAATCCAGAAAAAGATGAACTAAATTCCCGTTTTATTTACTGTATATGACATCAATGACATTTTGTCGGTTTCGAATGCTTACTTGAATTGTAGGTTGAATCCCTTTAATTCGAAATAAAAAAAAAAAAACATGTTTCTTTAGAAAGAACTGATTGCAAACTAAAAGCGAAGCTTCATGATACTAGTAAACATGATTATTTTTTTTTTTTACCGTCAACTTCCCTTACCTATGTAGCAAT